ATTTTATGGGGAGGGAGCATGGATACAGGGGTTATACCACACACACTAAAAACAACAGACAGCCCCACTCCACAAAGGTGGCAGTAAAGCGACTGCAAAGAACTACAGACCGATAGCACTAACATCCCATATATAAAAATCTTTGAGAGGGTTCTAAGAAGCAAGATAGCCAACTACCTAGATATCCATCAATTACACAAACCAGGGCAACACGGGTTTAGAGCAGGTCGCTCCTGCCTGTCCCAGCTACTGGACCACTATGACAAGGTCCCGGATGCTGTAGAGGATAAACAAAATACAGATGTAGTATACACACACTTTGCAAAAGCTTTCGACAAGTGTGACCATGGTGTAATAGCACACAAAATGCGGGATAAAGAAATAACAGGAAAAGTTGGTAGATGGATCTATAACTTCCTGACAAATAGAACACAAAGAGTAATAGTAAACAGAGTAAAGTCCCAGGTAGCCACAGTAAAAAGTTCTGTTCCACAAGACACAGTACTTGCTTCCATTTTATTCCTCATCCTCATTTCAGACATGCGGATGACACCCGGATCACCATGGCAGTGACCTCCATCGAAGACACTGGGAGACTCCAAGTGGACATCAACCAAATCTTCGAATGGGCCACTCAAAACAATATGAAGTTCAACGAGGAGAAATTTCAACTACTCAAATATGGGAAACTTGAGGAAATTAAAAATGTATCAGGGTATACGACAAAGGCTAACCATACAATAGAGCGAAAGAGTAATGTGAAGGACCTGGGAGTGTGTGACTGGACTGCCTCCATGTGAGCTGTCTACCCTGGCAAGCTCTGTTGACACCGAGCCCTGAGGTCGGTACCTCAGCCTCACAAGTGGCTTATAGGACAGATTTTCAGAAATGACTGATGTTGCAAGAAATCTCTACTGCATGCACATGTAAAGGACTAACTTACTTGGTGTTGGAGAATGTGTCTCGGTCTTCAACCTCCCTAACTTTTAGTCCCTGTGGACTTCCCCTCAGAACCACGTGCAACCGGGAGCCTTAATTTCTCCAATATTCAATCGTTATTAGTGACCTGCTTGCACCTCAGAAATTCCTGTTTCCAAGGGGGTGTGTAGCCCCTAGACTATGCAGAAATGGACACTAGCTTCTAGGCTGACAAGAGACGCCGGTACGTACTGGTCATGAACTGCCGGCTGACACAAAGGCCACAGCACGACTCATTCACAATTTTCCCCAGACACTGGCCAAGATCCTAAGAAAAATGAGAGGTCTTGTCTTACTGTATTTGCTTGACGGAGGACATCTACGGTACGTCGAGGTGCCTCCACCAGATTTCTCCAGTGAAGACACGTGGGGGGCGCCGCCTGCTGATCACAGCACTTGCTCAGATGGTGTCTAGTCTTAGAAGAAAGGGCACTGTGGTCTCAGACCCATGCCCCAGTATTCAAACTTGGGCTGCCAGTTCTCCATGGCTAACATAGCCTAGTGTTTGCCTACATTATCGGCCTACTACTACCTGTGTTAAGGTCTTAGGTCTACATTATTATTATCTACAGTTGCCTCAATAATCCTAATATTAGTGTACTAACAGTATAAACTACCTACTTCTTCCCTGAAGGGTAAATCTATCAATTAAGAAGTACCTTCCAACCACCTTCACCAACCCGGGTGAGCGTATGTTGTGGGTGGGTGTAAGGGCCTTCAAACGGCGTGTTTCCCCCCGTTGGGACTTCTAGGACCGAATAAATTCCAACAGAGTGATAATGTCAGAGGATCTCGCCTTCAAAGACCACAACAATGTTTCTACCTCATTTGCTAATAAAATGATAGGATGGATAATGAGAACCTTCAAAACTAGGGATGCCAAGCCCGTGATGATTTTCTTCAAATCACTTGTGCTCTCTAGGCTGGAATACTGCTGTACACTAACTGCCCCCTTCAAGACTGGCGACATTGCAGACCTGGAGAGTGTACAAAGAACTTTCAAGGCACACATAAGTACGATAAGGCACCTTAACTACTGGGAACAGTTGAAGGTCCTTGATCTGTATTCCCTGGAATGCAGGCGAGAAAGATACATGACAATATACACTTGGAAGGTCCTGGAGGGTTTGGAAAGAAAACCTGCACACGAAAATCACTCCCTATGAAAGCGAGAGACAACACAAGAAGTGTCCGGGGCCCAAGACTGTTCAACTGCCTCCCAGCCTACATAAGGGGGATTACCAATAGACCCCTGGCTGTCTTCAAGAAGGCACTGGACAGGCACCTAAAGTCAGTACCTGACCAACCGGGCTGTGGTTCGTACCTCAGTTTGCGTGCGGGCAGCAGTAACAGCCTGGTTGATCAGACCCTGATCCACCGTGAGGCCTGGTCTCAGACCGGGCCGCGGGGGCGTTGACCCCCCGAAACCCTCTCCAGGTAAGTGTATACACAACGCGAGACACCTCCGAGTGTACATATTCTGAAATCAGAACTGTATTTATATCCTAATTTACTTAGTTTTTGTTTATTTTAATTTAAGTACTATATACACATGCTCATATTAATCAACTTTTATTTTTCCTGGGACAGAAAATCAACAATATTTTAAATGTATAAAAAAACAACAATGTTGTCCAAGGATCCCAATGGAAGTAAGTCATTTTGACTCCTTTGAGTTATCCTAGCTAATTTACTCATGTTACTATGCAAATCAACCACAGGAGCTTGCAATTTCGGAGGAATGAGTAGGAAGTCCACGTAGATTAGTTCAGGGGAACTTTGCAGCTAGAACATTCCTAGAACTATACGTCTCTACAGGAACTTATTATTATTATTATTTATTATTAAAGATTAGCCGGTATTCTCCCGGCCCGGGCCTTTTCCAAGTGGTGGCCCGGCCTTGGCTCCCTCTTTAGGGAGTGTCTGAGACCGAAGTCTCCCATGGGTGGAGGCACAAGTACCTCCTCATCTTTGGGACCAACTGTCCCCAGGCCTAGCCACAAGCTAGGCCTTTCTGGTCTGCCATCCCCGCCCCAAGGGGGCAAATGGGAATGACAGTCTTATGAGCTAAAGGCTCGGGCTCGGGCACCTACCCTACCCTAGAAGGGTTAGGCATGGTGTCGATCACAGGAACTTTAGCCTGTTATTCTCTTACTTCACTGCACTGTTCCCTATTAATTAAGTAAATAACTAAGTCTATTCAGGTACAGATACACATAAATACAGTTACATAAATTACCATACATAACAGGATAACCCAAAAAAACAAAAAATCTAAGTGACTTATTTCCACTGGTGTCCATCCCCTGACATACTTGGATCGAAGGGGATTCCAAGATATTTCACTGAAGATACTTAAGTGATGGGTCTCCATCGTTGAACTTCATATTGTTTTCTGCAGCCCACTGAAAGATTTGATTGATGTCAGCCTGGAGCCTTGCAGTGTCTGCAATGGAAGACACTGTCATGCAGATTCGGGTGTCATCTGCAAAGGAAGACACGGTGCTGTGGCTGACATCCTTGTCTATGTCAGACATGAGGATGAGGAACAAGATGGGAGCGAGTACTGTGCCTTGTGGAACAGAGCTTTTCACCGTACTGCCTCGGACTTTACTCTGTTGACTACTACTCTGTGTTCTGTTTGTGAGGAAATTATAGATCTATCTACCAACTTTTCCTGTTATTCCTTTAGCACGCATTTTGTGCGCTATTACGCCATGGTCACACTTGTCGAAGGCTTTTGTAAAGTCTGCGTATATTACATCTGCATTTTTTATCTTCTAGTGCATCTAGGACCTTGTCGTAGTGATCCAGTAGCTGAGACAGACAGGAGCGACCTGTTCTAAACCCATGTTGCCCTGGGTTGTGTAATTGATGGGTTTCTAGATGGGTGGTGATCTTGCTTCTTAGGACCCTTTCAAAGATTTTTATGATATGGGATGTTAGTGCTATCGGTCTGTAGTTCTTTGCTATTGCTTTACTGCCCCCTTTGTGGAGTGGGGCTATGTCTGTTGTTTTTAGTAACTGTGGGACGACCCCAGTGCCCATGCTCCCTCTCCATAGGGTGTTAAAAGTTCGTGATAGGGGCTTCTGGTGTGGGTCGCATCCTGGGTGTTAGTAGACTGGTGTGGGTCGCATCTTGGGTGTTAGTATTATTATTATTATAATCAAGGGGAAGCGCTAAACCCGGAGGATTATACAGCGCCTGGGTGGGGGGGATGTGGAAGGCATTCAGGCTTAATTCGGGGAACTGGAGCACAGATCCAATTCCCTAAATCAAGAGACCCTCACCAACATCAAGGAACCTTCCTTGAGGGGTTGGGTGTTAGTAGACTGGTGTGGGTCGCATCTTGGGTGTTAGTGGATGTCAGCTACGGTCTGTATACCTGGTACATGTACTTGTAGTAAATAGAGATGATATTATTATTATTATTATATCTGGTAGCAGTTGTAATGAGTTATTTATGCTGATTGGACGAGTCTGTTTACCAGCATTACTGGCTCGTGCCCTGGTTGGCAAAGCTTTCGCTTCATATGCTGAGTGTCCGGGTTCGATTTCCAAGGGTAAAAACACTGGGCGTGTTTCCTTACACCTGTTGTTCCTGTTCACCCATCAGTATTATAGGTACCTGGGTGTCAAACAACTGGTGTGGGTCGCATCCTGGGGCAAAAATTTACTTAATTTGCGGGAAATGCTCTGCATAACAAAGGACTTTCTATATAGTAGTATGTCATTGATGTCAACTGTGGTCTGTATACCTTGTACATGTACTTGTAAAAATAAAGAAATGGTATCCTGAGGTCTGATGTCTCAATAAACAAATCTAAATTATATTTTCTATAAAGAACATGTTTATTTTTAAGCGATCATTTTTAAATACAGTAATATATGCTTTACAATCGCAATAAAAAACAAAGTCTATTATTCCTTTAATTAATAATACTAACATAAAAACATGGAGCAAGAGTAGAGGTTTCAGGTAATTTAAGTTACAGCAGTAAAATTCCCGTCACTGCTAATATAAAAGGGTGTCTGTCGTACTAAGTGGCACTTGGGGCCTCGGCTCCTCGGGGTATGGCCATCAAGACATACCCGACACATAATTTTTTTTAATTACCTGGGAAGTTCGTATGCTTTGCGCTCGGACGCCCAGAGTATCAACGTTTTGTCGGCGGGATATGGGAAACTCCAGACAGATTTAAAATTCATGTTTCTACATTGTACTATTTATACAGACCATAGTTGACACTAATGACATGCTATATATATTTTTATAAAAAAAAAAGCGCTAAACCACAATGGCGATACAGCGCTGTGACATGCTATATAGAAAGCCCCTGGTTATGTGGAGCATTTCACGGGTGTTAGTCGCCGTACATCTGTTACACCAATACATAAAGCTGGTGACCCTACAGACGTAAACAACTATAGGCCAATATCAAACTTACCATTGCTATCCAAAATCTTCGAGAAACTCGTGCACAGCAGACTATATTCATTTATAACGTCACAAAACATACTCAATCCCTGCCAATTTGGATTCAGGAAAAATAAAAGCACTAATGATACAATTATAAAAATGCTAGATCTGCTTTACACAGCATTGGAAGATAAGGAATATCCGCTAGGAATTTTTATTGACCTAAGAAAAGTGTTTGACACAGTAGACGACGGCATCCTACTCCACAAACTTGACCACTATGGTGTAAGAGGCCATGCGCTTGCATATTTTAAATCCTACCTTTCTAATAGGTATCAGTATGTCACCATTAAAGACAGCATCAACAATACGGCCACTTGATACTGGAGTTCTGCAGGGAAGTGTCCTTGGACCCCTGCTCTTCCTCATTTACATCAATGATCTTCCAAACATATCCCAACACCTGAAACCCATTCTCTTTGCTGACGACAGGACTTATGTCATCTCCAACCCTAATCTTGCCACCCTCAACACCATTGTTAACGAGGAGCTGATCAAAATATCAGCTTGGATGACAGCCAATAAACTTACACTTAACACTCGCAAAACCTACTATATTATGTTTGGTAGCAGAGCAGGTGTTGCGCAACACTCTAATTGCCAACCATAATGAGGGGAAATTCCTTGGCCTAAAACCTCGACAACAACCTAAAATTTTAGCACCCATATCCAACACATACAAAAAAAGTATCCAAAACGGTGGGGATCCCTTTCCCAAAATACGATACTACATCTGCAAACTGCCCTTCTCACACATACCATTCACTTAATATCCATACCTCACCTATGCTATCTGTTTCTTGGGGATCAACTGCAGCAACAAAACCTAAAGCCAATAATAACCCAACAAAAAGCCACAGTAAGAATAATCACTAAATCCCATCCCTGGCAACACCCCCCCCCACTCTTCATAGATCTAAACTTACTCCCTGTTCAGAACTTCCACACTTACTACTGTGCAATCTATATCTACAGGACCTTAAATTCCAATATTAACCTGACCTAAAATGCTTTCTTGATAGTTGTGACAGGGTCCACAGGCATAACACCAACACAAACCATCTCTATGACATTCCCCATGTTCGACTAAACCTTTACAAAAATTCAATGTATTTCAAAGGACCTAAAATCTGGAACACCCTACCTGAAAACTCAAGAACTGCAGACACCCTTCATCACTTTCAAAGCTACAAGTTAGAAAACATCTTATCTCCTTGATCCACCCCGACAACTAACTACATGATAACCACCTGGTGGTTCACAATTACACTCACTCACCCACTGACTATAAACCCAGAAATACTAATCTTAATCTTAAAATAATAAATCCTAACTAGTCATAAGTTTGCCTATGATACTCCAATACAGACACTTTGTATTGTGCCAAAACAAAAGCATTCACATTGCTAAACTCACAAATTATGATGTAGTCACTTAGCCTTAATACCATAATCTGGTGTCCTAGTGGCCCCCTCTGTAATTAGTATTTTATAACATGTAAACCACACAATACCCAAAACCTGTAAACCTCACATTGTAACCCTTATAGAGAATAAACTTGAATTGAATTGAATTGAATCGAATCTGTCACTGTTCACCTAGCAGTAAGTAGGTATTTGGCTGTTAGTCACCTTACACCTGCTGTCCCTGTTCACCTAGCAGTAAGCTGGTGTTAGTGGTGTGGGTGGCATCCAGGGGGATAAAATTAACCTAAGTTGTGGGAAATGCTCTACATAACCAGGGACTTTCTATATAGTGTGTCACTGGTGTCAGCTATGGTTTGTGTAAGTTGTATCATGTACTGGTAGAAATAAAGATTATTATTATTATTATTATAAGAAGGCAAAATGAATCGCAAAATGGGAATGATCTCCACATTTAATCCTCAATAAAAGACCCTCATCAGCAGTTGACTTTTCAAAAAAAAAAAAAAAAAAAGAAGTACCTTTATTCCAGAGAAAAGCTCTTAATCTAAGGAAAGCGAGATCTTTCCACTAAATTAAACCCGTTTACCTCCCATTTCCCAGCTGCTGTATGGCCCTTACAGGTTTAGGGCTTCAAAATAAATACAATAATAATTAAAAAATTAACTTCAGCAGCTGAAAAAGTTCTCTGGTGCAATTATTATAATTATAATCATGGGGAAGCGCTAAAACCGTAGGATTATACAACACCTGGGGGAAGGGATGGGAGGTATTCAGGCTTAATTCAGGAAATTGGAGCACAGATCCAATTCCCCAGATCAAGATCCCCTCACCAGCATCAAGGACCCTCCCTTGAGGGATCTGGTGCAATATGTTATATTTCTTGGCTATGTGGTCCTGTATTTAACTTTTGATTAATTTTTTTAACACAGCAGCTGCTTCCCACTGAGGTAGGGTGATCCAAAAAAGAGGACACACACACTAACCATCATTCATACCATCACTGTCTCACCAGCAGCATGCCAACACCACACAGTAATGCATGATACTTACGATTAAAACACTTCCATTAAAATTGTAAAATTTGAGATGCTTATAAATAATAATAATTATCACAAGAACCCCAATGGAAATAAGTCATTTTGTCTGACTTTTTTGGGTTATCCTAGGTTCTCGACACACATGCTGCTATGTATGATAATCTGTGTAACTGTGTATACCTGAATAAACTTATTTATTTGTAAATTTCCAATTTTCTAGCACTGTGTGATATAAGGCAGTACTTCTTCTTTAATAGCACAGACATCGTCTTCATCTTTAATGATATGCTGCAGTGCTTCGTGTGTCTCTGCCTGGGTGTAGTGAGTAACATCTGCGTCACCCTCAGATGAAACGACGATCACAACGCTGTCGTCTTCCTCGGCTTCAAATTTTATGTTTTCTGCCTCGTGGCTTACAATTTTCTCAGCTCTTGTAAATGTTGTCACTTGCTTTTTGCTTCCCTTGTCTCGAGGTTCGTAAAGTGAGTGAGTTCGTATACAAGGAGTTAAATTTTTGGGAGTATTGCACTTAATGGAAGCCACAGTGTTTGCGTTTGCGTTTGCGTTACTTTCTGTCTGCGAGTGGGTTGTACGATAATGCTGGTGTGCTGCAACTGCTGACGAGAATGAGCGATTGCAGAGCGTGCACCGTAAGCCATGTGTCAGCATGTGTGTGAGATACTGCTGTTTTTGTCCATAAGACACTCCACACTCTTGGCAGTAGAACTTGTGATGAGGTTGTGTGCGAATGTGGTGACGCAACACTCGCAGAGTGGAAAACCTTCCACCACAAGTCTCACAACTGTAGCTGCGTGCTCGTCTATGGAACAGATTCTGAGGGAGAAATTAAAAGCAAAGAATATCACAATCATACACAAATGACCCACCCATAGGAGAGGGGAGCTTATGATGATGTTTCGGTCTGACTTGGACCATTTACGTTATCATAAGGTCCCTTTCCTATGTGCGGGTTATCTGTGTATTGTCCAGTCACGGTATTGTAACTGTTTGTTAATATCACAATCAATACGTAATACAGGAGGGCATCCTCCATATACAGCACCTTCTTTTTGGTGTTCCACATTTTTGTTGGCTTCAAACTGAGCCATTATTCATTATGTTCCACCTACCCTACCCTGGGTTATCCTGGGTGGCTAACCCTCTGTTCCCCGGGTTAAAGATCCAAACAAATCTTATTCTATGGAAAGACAAAATCTTGAGGATTATATAGAGCTGCACAGCAAGGAGGAAAGAGATAGAGGGAAGGAAGAGAATTGAGGGTGGTAAAGACTACATTACTGCTGGTGACACCACTAGAGGAAGGTGGACAGTGTCACTTAGGAAAGTACAGGAGGGCCTTGCTTTACAGCACTTTGCTTTAGTGCTTTACTTTACAATATTTCACTAATGCAGTGGTTTTCAATTATACTCATTCTTCATTTATTCTGACTTCCTACAATAAATATATTCACCACTCACTATAAGCTAAGAGTGAAAATATTTTAAGATACGTAATGTGTGTACTGTATATGCATTTTTTAGGCCTAGGATATTGCTCACATGTTATCAGTCTTTTACGTATATGCATTTAAAAATGAAAAAAAAAAAGACTTACATTTTGCTTTACAGCAGTAGCCCAGAACTTAACCTGCTGTATAAGTGGGGCCCTACAGTAGCTCAGAACCTAACCTGCTGTATAAGTGGGGCCCTACAGTAGCTCAGAACCTAACCTGCTGTATAAGTGGGGCCCTACATTTGCTCAGAACCAACCTGCTGTTAAAGTGGGCCCCCGTACAACAGTGTGTCTGCAGTGAATACACAGGTAACACAGTCAGATGGCAGTTAAAGAAATTAGCCAATACCAGACTTTGTGTTAAAAGATAACAGGAATACATTTCATGATGACAGACCAATAAAGTCACATTTACCAGTAAATAGGAATATGATGAAAGCTTTGACAAAATAGCAAGTTAAGCAACCATTTGTTCCTTTTTTCAACAAACTGCTTTCAGTAGTGTGTCTATTAAATCTTGGATGCCATCTTTCATCTAAGCTTGAATGCATTCTGTACTTGAAGTTACAGTCATTAGTAAAAAAAATCTTAGATTTTCCTGCTCTGAATGCAGTTTGTACAGAAGCTCCTCGACTTACAATGGGGTTATGTTCCATGAACCCATTGTTAGCTGAAAATATCGTACGTCGAATATGA